ACGTGGGCATTGTCAGTTTCACTATAGCTCTGGTGAATTTCAATGGTGAAGTCCTCTGGAAATCTGCAATAATTGTTGATTGCAGATGTGTCTAGTAGTTCCCATTGATTTAGCTTGTAAAGGCTTACCGCACCCTGAAGTCACTGCTGGAAGATTTTTTTTTTTTTTTTCTTACTGATTAACGCTAAATTCATTAAATCACCACAAATGTAGTAGTTTTTAGGTATAGATAACAATCCATTGATTATTCCTTGCTGACCGGACTTTCCCCTTAGGGCCCCTATAATGAGAGCCTCTATAGGCTGAGTGACTGATCTTTGAGAGCTGGAGGTAACGATCCTACTTTAGGACAGATAATGAGAACAGTTGAGCTTCAAATTTAATCACAGCTCGTCTCAAACATCACCCTGCATTCCTGAGCTACATTCCCCTGATGCCTTCTGTTTCCCTGGAAGGGAGACACTGAACAGTGAACCAACTAACCACGTCCTGCCAACACACAATGAGCCATTGTACCTCCGGATCAACTCCAGGCATTTAATGGGGAAAACATCTTAGAAGCATTTCTGTTCAATGGAAGCTCTAAGTACTCTCTTAGAGGCATTGTGTTAATTACATGAGGTAAACAATAATGCTGCTACAGTATTTCAATACACTACAGTCAGACACAGTCGCTCACCCCCGCAGACAGAGAGCGCAACCTTTGATGTCTAATCTGTCGAGTTTAACCTGCTCATAGTCTTTGTGATGAGGGGTGACAGGAGATCGTCCTGCAACCAGGGAGGTCTGCAGTTGAAACCCCCTCTCTGTCCGTCCCAGTCGTCGTGTCCTTGATAAAAAAACTCTATACCTGTAGCCTACTGATGGTATTCAGAGGGGCCAGGAGCCTGATATCTGTGAGCGTGCACCAGGTCGCTAAATGTGACTCACCACCATCATCAGGTGAATAACTGAATGTATCCAGTCCACTTTATTTATATAGCACCATTTCAATAAACACAAGGCTTCCAAAGTGCTGCACAAAAAGATAAATAAAAATAAATAAAAGTAAATAAAATAAAAGCACTGCCCGCACAGGATAAAAATATGCATGTA